TTGCTCTATTTTCCACATGACAATAATCTACCATGTGATATTATTTTACATATCACATTTCAAAACTATCTTCTCCAGGCTCAACATAGACAACTCCCTCAACTTTTCCTCATAGGGTTTGGTTTCCAGACCTTTTACAGTCTTGAGTACCCTCTTCAGGACACAAACCAGCTTGTTGATTTCCTTCATAAACTCTAGTGCCCTAAACTGGACCCAGCACAATACAAGTAAGGTTTGACCAAAGCAGAAAAGAGGGAATCATCAATTCCCTTTATTTGGACACTATACTTCTTTTCTACAGCCTAGAATTGTGTTAGCCTTTTCCCTTTCTGCATCATACTGTTCATTTGTCTTTAGCTTGTGGTCTTTCATAATGGTAAGGATGAAAGATGAAGAAAGAACTTGCAGTGTTAAATTTAATATGTTAATATCTTTGGTTATATAAAGACATACTTGGAATAAATAAATAATAGAGAAGGTGTGCCTGAAAAGTTGAACATTTGTTCAGGGTGTCTTAGTGCAACCATCATTCTGTTCCCCATCATGTTCAATGGCCTTGTTCTACCCTTCAGTCCATCAACTTTAGAGGATGACCTGTTGAGTTGTTTTTACATTTGGCTTCTTCCAGACCACAATTCCAGATGTGCAGGGCTCTCTCCCAGTGCTGGTTTCTATAAAAAGGCTCAGCACACCACCTCTTCATCATAAGAGATAATTACAATGGAAGAAGGTAATATCCCTTTAAGATCTTAGGTGGCTTCCTAATGGGGTGGAGCTCTCACCGTTTCCAGACTAGCAAAACTTTACAAAGGGGCAGTGGGAACCAATGTTGCTGGACTGGAACTCCCACCATGCCACATTTGGCTGTACTGACTAATCCAATGACCTCTGAAGGCTTGCATATTTCTTGTTCTTTTGTGCTTTCACATCATTTCCAATTTATGGGCTTTCAAGTTGTTTCTGATTTATGGCAACCCTAAGGAGAACTTATCACAAGGTTTTCTTGGCAAGATTTGTTCAGAGGTCCTTTGCCTTTGTCTTCCTCTGAGACTGAGAGAGTATGACTTGTTCAAGGTCACCCAGTGGATTTCCATGGGAAAGAGGGATTCAAAACCTGGTCTCCAGAATTGTAGTCCTATGCTCAAATCACTACTCCACGCTGACTCTCACACATTTCTTAACCCCTGCTTTATAGTGTTGGAAGGCTCCTCCCTTGCCTGCCTAAGCAGCAGCACTTCTTCCTATAGCAAGGAGGACCTTAGCTAGTGATCTGTCCATGGTCCTGATCAGCTCTGCTTAATTCTGTCTGATTCTGCTATGCATCTTGTTGACATGTCTTCACTTTGTCCAGTTTTCATCCCTGCCCCAGCAGACTATAGCAGAAGTGACATCACTTCACTACAACTTCAAGAATTCCATTGGCCATGTTGGTTGGGGATTTATACTCTAAAAAAGTAACTATCTAAGGTCTGGTTTCATCTATATGTTTCTGTTTGCTCAAATTTTCATCTATCCCCCACCCATTCCAAATTATACTATTGATTTTAATTTCTTGGTTTGACAATTTATCAAGAATTGCCTTTTCAAACACAAATCTGAAAAGAAAGTGATGTCAGGAGTATTTACAGTAGAGGAAGTGGTCACAAAATTGGTCTTCGGACCAGTCAGTGACAAATGTCTAAATAAATCACATCTTCTCTAGAGAAGAATTCTACCAATACTGTGGCCTTCTAAAAAGATAAATAAATGAGCTAATCAAGCCTGAACTCTCCTTAGAAGCCATTATAATTAAACTGAGACTGTCATACTTTGGATATATCATAAGAAGACATGACTCACTAGAAAAGATAATGATGCCTGGTAAGGTAGAAGGCAATAGGAAAAGAGGAAGATGCATTCCAGATGGAAAGACTCAATTAAGTAAGAAAAGGTCAGGAAGGTCCTGAATCTGTAAGACCTGAGCAGAACTGTTCTTGGAGGTCTTTCATTCATAGGGTTGCCATAAGTAGAAATCAACCTGATGGGAGTTAACAACAACAATAAAATACTGAATGTATGCAGAGAGCCAGTGTAGTGTAGTAGTTTGAGCACTGGACTATGACTCTAGAGACCAGAGTTCAAATCCTCACTTGACAATGGAAACCCTCCGAGTTACCTTGGGCAAATCACACTCTCTTACCATCAGAGGAAAACAAAGATAAACCCCCTCTGAACAAACTCTTGCAAAAAAGTCCTGTGATAGTGTTGTCTTATGTTGCCATATGTTGGAAATGGCTTTAAGGCACACAACTGCAGATAACATTGAGAACTGGAAGAGCAAGTCCTCTATGCTGCCCACTCCTCATTCCTTCCTGACCTTTTCTTCAGCTTGTAACCTAGGGCCCATTTACACTACAAAATTATAGCACTGTTATTCCATGTTAACTACCATGGTTCTGTCCCATGGAATCCTAGGACTGATAATTTAGGGAGAGACATTTATAATTCTCAGCCAGAACACTCCAGTACCTCACTAAACTACAAATCCCAGAATTCCATAGAATGGAAACATGACATCTCAAGTGGAATAACAGTGCTGTAATCATGTAGTGTGAATGGGCCCCAGTAATTCTTCTGATTACTGTGAATTTTGTATTAACTAATATTTTCACTGTTCTAGATATATACTTTTTATTATTCATTCAGTCAAATAAACATCAACAATTGTTTCTCTCCCTGAAAGATACAAAACCCATTTACATCCAAATTGCCTACCAACACGTACGTACATAAAGATGTTTTCAATCAGGCCTTTAATAATTAACTGATTGCAAATAGAATCACTGTACTTTAATTTTTTTTATTCATTGAGGTGATGTTTTAAAGCATTTTAACAAATGTTTTAAATTAATGCATACATTTCCATAACATAAACAAACAGCAACAGATACGGGCCTCCACCTAAATAACCTTCTATAGAATAATGCATGTAAATAACTTTCTCTAGATGGCACAGATTTTGCTCTGGTAATAGAGAAATTAATAAAGCAGAAAAAATGAAACTTGGCTTTTCAATAAACAAGCTGTAATTTTATAGAGCCAGTGTGGCACAATGGTTTGAGTGTTGGACTATGACTATGAAGCCCACTGGGTGACCTTGGGGAAGTCATATGCTCTCAGCCTCAGAGGAAAACAATGGCAAACCTACTCTGAACAAATCATGCTAAGAAAACCCCATAATAGCTTTACCTTTTGTTGCTGTTGTTAACTGCTTTCACATCAGTCTCAACCCATGGTGACCCTATGGATGAGACGCCTCCACCCCCACCCCCATCCTCTACTGCTCTGCCCAGCTCCTGCAAATTCATATTCATGGTCTCTTTAATAAAATCCATCCATCTAGCATGTGGCCTTCCTCTCTTTCTACTTCCCTCCACCTTTCCTAACATTAGTGTCTTTTCTAACGATCCATGCCTTCTCATGATGTCTCCAAAGTATAACAGTCTAAGTCTTGTCATCTAGGCTTCTAGGGATATCTCTGGCTTGATCTGTTCTAGGACCCACTTGTTTGTCTGTTTGGCTGTCCATGGGATCCTCAGCACTCTTCTCCAGCACCCCATCTCAAATGTGTTGGTTTTCCTCCTATCCTTTTTGGGGGGATGCAGACAGGAGGCCCTGGGCCGCCCCGGAAAATGGAGGCCAGACACATCAGCCCTGATCCTCCCTTTTGCCACCTGGGAAAGGAGTGCCAAAACACCACTCCTTTCCCAGGAGGTGAAAAGGGTGCCCAAAGAGCCACCACGTGGCTCTTTTGCGCCTCTTCCAGCACAGTGTTAAAAACACTGCGCTGGGAGGATGTCCTGACAGCGTGTGCCATGCATAGCAGCACGTGCTGTGATGACATCCTCTGGAAGGGGTTGGGGTGCCCAGCATGTGGCTGCCCCTCCCCTTTCCTGCCTCCAAGACAGCGCTTTGCGCCATCTGTAGAGGCCATTTCTTGACTGTCCAGTTCTCACATGGTAATAGGGAATACATTGGCTTGTATGATTCTGATTTTTGTGCTGAGTTGTATGTCTTGCATTGTAGGATCTTTTCTAGTTCTTTCAAGGTCACCCTCCCCATTCTTAATCTTCTTCTGATTTCCTGGCTGCAGTCCTCATTCCAATCAATGTTTGATCCCAGATATGAGAACTCTTTTACTATTTCTATTTCCTCATTGTCTAGTTTGAATGTGTGTAAGTTCTCTAGGGTCACCATAAGTCAGAAATTATTTGAAGGCACACAACTACAATAGGAGGTAGCAGTTTCAATTTTAGCAACTAAACATCGGGGTATCATTAAGGAGGTTCAGGAGGTACAGACAACACAGGGAACCATCTCAGGGGGGGTGAACACTTGGTGGGACACACACCCAGGCTGCCCCCCTCCACCAGCCATGCCACCTCTGCTATCTGCCTGCTGTGACCACTGGTGGGGATGTGGTGCTGCTGCTGTCTGGCAGGACCTTTTGGGTCTGGCAAAGAAGGTGCTGATGATGGAGAAGATTTTTAATGCATTTGTTTTGCTGCTTTTGTTTCCAGTCACCTCAAGATCATAGGGGTGCAGCCTAATTTTTCTCTCTGCACAGAACCTCCCTAAATACCGACTCAAGCAAATGCCTCAAGCAGGATGAAGATCTGTGACTCTAACCCTGTCACTTTTCTTCCCCTGCATGTTCTTTTAACAATCTTTGCCTGATGAAGATGCCAACCAGATTCAAAATCTTGTGTGATATATTTCACACCTTTTGATTGGCCTAAAAATAGTATCACCTCAATGGGTTATTTGGAATTTGTTTTATAGACAACATGGCTTTCTTGTTGTTGTGTGTCTTCAAGTCGTTTCCAACTTATGGTGACCCTAAGAAGAACCTATCACAGGGATTTCCTGCCAAGATTTGTTCAGAGGGGAGTTTGACTTTGTTTCCCTCTGATTATAAGAGAGAGAGAATGACTTGTCTAAGGTCACTCAGTGGGTTTCCATGGCCAAGCAGGGATTCAAACCCTGGTCTCCAGAGTTGTAGTCCAACACTCAAAGCACTACACCACACTGGCTCTCATTTTATTTATACCGGCTCTAGCTGGTGAATTCTAATAAAGTAACAAAAACAGATCCTACAGGCCTGAACTTTTCTCACCAGACCTCTTCAGGCGTGAGCTCTCTCTCTCCACATCCTGTCTGCTTATATCCCCTCTACATACAGTTTAACACATGCCAGACATTCATATCCAGACACACGACTTCAGCAAGGTGTCCCAAAAGACCAAGAACAGTGATTCTTGGTGAGTGAAAACAAGTGCCATAAAATAAAAGAATGACCCATTTTCAATGTGTGTAAAGTTGCAAAATTTTGAAAAAGTACTTTCTTCAGACTACTACTTCCAGAGTCCCCCAGCCCTAGCATGCCCACTGATTATGCTAACTGGGGGATTCAGGGAATTTTATCCCCAAAAGTAATTTTTCCAAGCTCTGAAATGTTGAACAACAGAATGTACTCCCTTATGAGTACAATCTTGAACTATCTCAATACCTTCATCGTGTACTTTAAAGTTATGTAAATCATCTGTGGTCATTATTTTTGCTTTCTTAATGTTCAACAACAAATTTACCTTTTCACTTTCTTCCTTGACTTCTATTAGGAGTCATTCCATGTCTTTGCTATATCTTGCTAGCAGTATGGTATCATCCATCTTAAATTGTTGAATTGTTCTCCAATTTTTCATGCCTCCATCTAGTCTAATCCTGGTTGAGAGTACAAGATGAACAGATTGGGTGGTAATGGTAGCTATCATTGTGTGTATGTGCCTTCAAGTTGTACGTCAACTTATGGTGACTCCATGAATACTCAGAGGTGGGTTTGCCAGTTATTTCCTCTGAAATGTAGCCTACAGTATCTGGTATTCACTGGCGATTTCCCATCCAAGTACTAACCTGAGCTGATCCTATTTAGCTTCCAAGATCAGACAGGATTTGGTGCCTTTAAGCAGCTTTTTCAAAGGTTCCCTTGTGTTGCTTTTTGGCTCCCCTTGTGTTAGTAAAGAGCTAATTCTCCCATCTTGTGTTATTGTAAAATACTCTTGCAATTCTAGAAATAAAAGCTTGATCACATACCACTCAGAAGCTAGGCATGTTCTGAAGTCAATACAATACAGCAACACAACTAAAATGTCTGTCCATTAAATTCTATCTTTGTGTCGTAGGTATGCACTGTCAAGTCAGCTTCAAAATACAGTCCTTTATTTGATATATTTACCCACCTTTGCTCTAGTGGATGCATGGCTCTCCTACCCTCCCTTTACTTTCACATCAGCCCTGTAAAGTAAGTCAGACTTGAGGACTGGCCCAAGATGACCCAGTGAGTTTCATGTCTCAGTGAGAATTTGAAACTCAGGGCCTGAACAGACTGCCAGAAATAATCCAGCTTGAGGCCACTTTAACTGCCCTGACTCAGTGCTAGGAAATCATGGAAACTATAGTTTATTGTGGCACCAGAGCTCTCTGACAGAGAAAACTCAATGTCTCAGAAAAAACTACAATGCCCATGATTCCCTAGCATTGAGCCAAGGCAGTTAAAGTAATCTTAAACTGGATTATTTCTGGCAGCCTGTTCAGGCCCCTAATCTCTCAACTCCCAGTCCAATACCTCATTTGCTACAAAATAGATCTGAATTAAATGCAGCAACATGGGTTACTAATGTACAATATGGAAGCCCATGTGCTCTAAGTCACTGTTAGCTTTAAGAAATATTTTTAAAAATATGAAACTAGGCTTCTTGCTGAATTTCACAGGGCTTGCATAAGACATTTCATTGCCTCAAATAATGGACAAGTTGTCACTCCTATTATGTGTAGAAGGTATCACTCCCACTGTAAATGAACAGCCGAATCTCAGTTTAACACCAGTGAAGGGATAATGCCCTCCGTTGCACTGGAAGGCATCAGATTAATTTAAGGGGCACAAGACAAGCCTCACAGCACCCACAGCTTTACCATACAACATCTTGCTACTGCTTTGCACTCCTCAGCATCTCCTACTTCAGGTAGTCACCCTCCTCTCTCCAATTATAGGGTTCATTGTATTGCTGCAGATGGCTCATTTCTTAAATCTGTTCTGAAAATGCTGGTGCCATTATAAAATATACTATGTTTCTATGTGTGTGTTAAACACATCACACACACTTAAAGATCCCTAACTGTTTAGCATCTGTACAAACTGATCTAGCTCAGAAGCAGTGTGTTTCACTGGAGGAGATTTAAATCTCCCTGCCCCCATATCTGTTTAGTATTTTTAAAATGCAGCACCCCATATGGATGTTTTAAAAAGACATGGATATCTGTTTGCTCTTTTTCTTTTTAATCTCACATTGGAAAACTAGTGTTTAAAATAAATAAATAAATAAAGATGGAGCAGGTTTAACCCTCCCACATCCACACATGCTGTTCTTAATTAGAGCCATGCACACTTACCCTAGAGTACAACAGTAAAGGATCTTAAACTGCACAATATGCCTTTAACGTGTTGCCAGTTTAAGTACAGATCACTTTTAAATGAATACAGATATACTTCAGTTAACAAAGGGGCTATGCAGACGGGCAGGAAAAGGTGACCTGAAGTTGTCTTTTCCCTAAGCTGCAGCAACAGCACCACAAGCCCCGAGGACACCGCAAAGGGAGACACAGAAACCGCATGGGCTGGCAGAAGATGCTTTAATTTTTGTTGTTGTTCTCAAATGCATGTGCATGTGCGCAGGAACACATTTCTGCACACCTGTGCACCTGCACAGGACCTGTCATAGGCTAGTATACAGTCAGTCACTCTCTATGTACAAAAGTGACTAAAGTTCGGCATCCCTGTGCACATGCACAGGACCTGTTATAGGGTGCTATACAGTCTGTCACTCTCTGTGTACAAAGGTGACTGAAGTTCGGCATCCCTGTGCAGATACACAGGACCTGTCATACATCCACAGATCATGCAAGAATTTGCTGACCTCCGCTTCCCCCCCCCCCAAGGGGTGGGTGCAGCAGACAGGTGCCACTGTCTGATTGTGCCACCCTTGGGGTGGAGAAACGGGTTTGTTAACTGAAAAGACACTCCATCGTCCTCCACCAAACATGTCCCACACAGATCAGGGGGGAGGGGGAAGGTACATGCAAGCGAGGTTTGTGTGGACAGACTTGGTACATGCAGCTGGTGGTCATGCAAGGGACATGGTCAACAGGACACATGGACAAATGTTGAAAGACTACCTGTCCTTAATGTGACTACTAACATACATACATATGCAAATATATCCAGGGCCTTTTTTTAACTGAAGACAGCAAATGATAGTATCAAAAAGGAATGGCAGCTCAAAAAAAGCTGGACAAAACTCAAATATGTAAATAGATTATGTTTAGAGGTGCACTGTTCATGAGTCAGAAAAAGGAACTTCTTAACACCTGCACCAAAAAATCAGAAAGATAAAAACCTGCCTATTTTTAGATTTGCTTTCTACCACCTATTTTATTTTCATTTTATGCTTTATTCCGTTTTACTTTTAATTTGACATTTTATTATTTTATCTAACATTTTATTATTAGTCAAGCAAAATAAACACACTAATACATAAAAGAATGGATAACAGGTAATCCTGTGGAGGAATGCAAAAACCTACTGTACAGGATGTGTTGAGAACTAGGATAAAACACTTTAGTAAAGATATGGAACAGAGGCTAAACAATAACCATTTAAAAATACTAGCTCATTTTGTTCGAAAGATGTTAAGATAATCGGATGATTTATATACTGTGTCATTCTGTGAACTGTTTACACATTGTATAACAAAATGAATTTACATTGCATATACACAATGAATGAAATTTCAATCGGCAAAGTTTTTTGTAACTAGAAGTCCCTCTATAGCTGAAATTGTTGCAAGCTGACAGTGAACGAGATACCCAGTTGACTTGACATGTCCCTGTTCCTAGCAGGTAATGTCAAAGCCTCACTTTCAGTCATGAGCACAAAATTTGCACACACGTATACACATGTCTAAAACCCACCACGTCATTAAACAATGATGTAGATTAATCAGCTTTCATTTTTCATTTTAAAGCCAGGCCCACTTCATACTGGTACCATAGAAACTTATAAGGCCATTTGTACATAGGTGTGTGACCAAGTAAAGGGTTATTATATCTTCTTTGATTCTCTTCCTGAACAACACTCATTTTCCAAGCCATCCAACTACCACTTCTTGCTTCAGACCCTATATCAGCCCAGAGAAAAAGGGGGTGAGTGGCTTCTAACCAAAGTGCTGGTCAATGTATAGGCTGAGTAGCCCATGCTACATCACAACAAGGCTGGAAACAAGGGATCAATGAATTAAATAATGTACCTTAATTTTCATTAATTTTACTGAATATTTGTTGCCTCATTGAAGTCAACAGGGCATTTTGGTCATGCAAGGATTAACTGTGCTACTGGAAACAAATATCCTGACTTGCTGGATAATCAAACAAATGCAATAATCCACAAAAAGGGAAGTCATGTCTGCAAGGGCTTTGGGATATTTTGGGAAGCACTCTCTCCCACTTTTGATAGTCTTCAGAATCATTACATTCTATGCCGCCTGGGTACAATATGTTAAATATTTTGCTAATGTGAGGTTTGTCCCCTCAGTTTGTTCTTTACACCTTACCTGAACAGTCTATGGGCCTTTACAGAGGGGATGCAGATGGACAGCCATGGGCCACTCTGGGACCGGAGGATTGGGGCCGAGGTTACCCCACACCTTGGCCCCAATCCTCCCTTCTGCCAGCCCTGAAAGGAGTGCTAAAATGCCGCTCCTTTCAGAGCCAGCAGAAGAGACACATCAAGAGCCACCACGGGGCTCTTCTGTGTCTCTTCCGG